TAATCAAAAATTATCCTTCACATAAAAAAAGTTTATTGATAAAAAGCTGCCTGCCAAAGCTTACTATTCTTAATCAGAATGATTAACGTGATGTGCTGTTTGTGCCATCACCCCTTCCATTCTGAGAGCCTTAACACATCACAGCACATCCATGAATTACAATGAATGGCAGTGTTAGAATTAAGCAGCACAGTCCACACACACAGACATTCCTTATACTTATATAGCGCTTTTCTGGACATTCCACTCAAAGCACTTTACAGGTAATGAGGACTCCCATCTGGATGACTCCCATCTGGATGACGTTACAGCCGTAGTGCACCAGTACGCTCACAAACACACCAGCTATCAGTTGCCAGTTCAGAGATGGGGATTATTAGGAGGCCATGATTGGTAAAGGCCAATGGGAAATTTGACCAGGGCACTGCGGTAACACCCCTACTCGTTTTGAGAAACACCCTGGGATTTTTAATGACCACAGAGAGTCAGGACCTCGGTTTTACATATCAGGATGGCACCTTTTTACAGTATAGTGCCCCCATCACTATACTGGGGCATTAAGACCCACGCAGACTGCAGGGTGAGCGCCCCCTACTGGCCTCACTAACACCTCATCCAGTAGCAACCTTAGTTTTTCCCCAGGAGGTCTCCCATCCAGGTACTGACCAGGCTAGTTGTGTGTTGCAGGGTGATATGGCCGCTGGCCGAAAAAAAATGGCCATTAAAACAAGCTGCCCAGAAATCTTCTCCTGCCACCTCAATATATGTCAAGAGAGCAAACATTGTGAAAAAAAACTAGACCGTACATTTATAGGCTCCTAACAAAAAAGACAAAATAATGTCTTATTAATATATTCCTTTTCTTATTCAGTGAATTTATTTCCATGTTTTGCATTATTTACTCACTCTGTGCTTGGCCAGGAAATGCATTTTGTTAACTGATTTTTATTATTTAGGGAGGTTTTAGGGGAGTATTGAGAATCACTCCAGAAGATTCACCATTCGAGATTAGCGCTGACGGAGTCATTACAGTGGAGAATTCTATTGCTCTTGACAGAGAAAAAAGAACAAGCTTTTTTCTCCAGGTAAGTGTTTCAAAGAGTTTAAAAAAGTTATATCAATGGACAGCTGAAAGTTTTTTGTATTTCAAACTATAATATTAAGTCAGTAGGTATTTTGAAATATTGAGAAATATTAGAAAACCTAATAAAAAGAATTGCGAGTATCTATTAGCACAATTTCAATGCAGTGAAAGTTGGAGACCGAGACAGAGATTTCTTGCTTTATGTTTTTTGTGTTAATATTAATTTAGCTCTTTGTTCTAGAGAGACTCTCCTGTAACTTTGCCTTCTCCTCCATCAAGATTGTAGCAAAAGAAGACAGCCCTCCCCAGCGAGAACAAACGGTGAATGTACTTGTACACCTGCTGGATGAAAATGACAACAGCCCCAGCTTTGATAGCTCTGAGTATGTAGGGAAGGTTTTCAAGAACCAGACTGTCGGCATGACTGTTGTCAAGGTAAATGCAGACTGTGGAACTGTGTGAAAAAGGCTTGCTTCTGCTTGCCAGCAATGGAGTGCTGGGTGAGGTACATGTACAGAATTTAATCCCTTCAGGGCATTGGAGTGCGGGTTACACTTCATAAAACCATGCAGATATATTTTGAAGTAATTCCGATACACAACAGGACAATGAAAAGATGCTTGGCATTTCATTTTCATTTAAGTAAGCTTTGATGGATAGGAATAGGCTTATTATTATGCAAAGGAAAAAGTAATAGGTTTATTCCATGCTGAAAAGAGAAGAAAGTATGGAATAAATCTATTACTTGTTCCTTTGCAGT